TTACAAGGTAGTATCGCATAGGATATGCCTCAATTTCCTTATTCTGACTTTTCAAAAAAAATTTAAATTACCCCCATAAGGATCTTATATCCAATTAATTGCTTCTCTCTCTTGGCAGCTCGCTTAGCATTTTCTACTACCTGTTGAAATTAGACTGCAAAATGGAGGCTTTCATGTTAGATGCAGCGCTGAGAATCATCTGAGTCCTGTGTCCTAACAGTGTGGTGTGTTCAGCAACAGCTTTCCTTCAACCTCTAAGAGATAACCAAAAGCTACATTAGTAGTCTCTATGATCTTGAGAGTCACATGGACTATCCTGACCAACAATTCTAAAGGGGTTTCCCCTCCCTGGTACTGGGATTTTTGGTAGTCTATGGTCATTGTGGGGACTAAGTGGGATAACTTGCTTTATTGTGTGTGTGTGTACATATATATCATATACTGTATCTGATATAGCATATAATATATATCATATGTACACATATACATATGTACCTGCATACATCTATACTCATTGTATACAATTTGGGTAATTATAAAATAATGTGATTCCTTGAGGCTTCACTCAAACGGGCTTGGTATGATTTGTCCCTTGTCTCTCCTTCTCCTGTCCAACTCTCAGTGGGTGCCCCCCACCACATTTCCACATTTCCTACTTCTTATCCAACCCTCATCAAAGTACCTTCTTGTTACAGCCAATGGAGACCATCACAGTAAACCACAATTAGACATGATTCCGAGAGGAAAACAGACTGAGGGAAACCAGCCCCAACAGATCCATCTATATCACAGCCTCCGCATCTATGGTTCAGGTGACATTATGCAAGAGGAGAAGAAAGATCAAAAGAGCCAGAATTCCAGGAATTAGGCTGTAAAACATTCTCTCCTAGGAATGGCTGCATACACAAGACCAAAACAATGGGGATATCAATGGACATGTCAACATGGAAGGAGGAAAATTCTTTACCATCCCACTCATAAACAAAGGATTACACGTAACCAGTGACTGCTGGGAGAAGGAGAACTAGACTCTCACAGGGATGAGCCACATTATTGGCTATTCAATACAAAATGATCAGCCCTGAAACAATATGTAAACAACAAAACAGACTCAGCTTGTAATATTTATATATTTGTACCTACAAATATGCAGTAATGATAATCAGAGAAAAGCAGGCTACGGATTTGAGGGCGGGGGCATGGGATGCTTTTGAGGGTGCAAGAAGAGGGAAGGTTACATGATTCTACTTTAATTAAAATGCATAAGTAAATTAGTTATTTAAAAGTCAAACAAAACTCATACTGCACTGAGGACTGGGTACATCAGAGTTTCCAGTCTTCAGAGGTAGAGAAGCATCTTGCTCAACCTTTCACCCTGGACAGTTCCCAATACTTACTTTAGATTTGAAATATTCAAATGCACACATCCCTTGAGAACACTTTAACTTTTAACTGATGATGAGGAATTAGAGAAGTGAATAGAACATATAACTTCAGTAATAAGAGCTATGGCTATTCAGCACCCAGTATGCATTTAGTTTAGGATTTTACACACTGTACTGTTATTTTTAGAGTGAGCACTGCTTCACTACTTCCTATATATTATTTGTAAGTAGCAAAGTTCAGGGCAGTTAGATCTAAAGCTAATCACAGAGAGTCCATGTTTTGTTATGTCTTCTCTACTTCAAATCTACTCTTATTCCTAGTGTGATGAGACCCTCATCTAAGCAGAATTATCTACTCATGGATGCATGCTTGAAGACATATCCATCAATTGTGTATGACAGTATAGTCGACTGAGCAGAGGAATTTTCACCATAAATGCTAGAATACATGCTCTTAGCTAGCCAAGAGGGAACACACACACACACACACACACACACACACACACACACACACACACACATACACATCAATAACAATAATAAAAAACTAATAACTTGAAAGTGGGTGGGATTCAAGGAAGGTATTTTGGAGGGTGTGGAGGGAGAAAAGGAAGGGGAAAAGTGATGTAATTCTATTTCAATCAAAAACCTTCTCTCAAAGACTACAAATACTGGCACACATCTGGAACAATGCCGGTATCATCTGTCGAACCCCCCTAAACTCAATGAACAATGGGAAGTTGTTAGAGTAGGTCAAATTGGGACACACTGTCATGCTCTAGAATGAGCAAGATCCCAGAGATACATGAACAAAAGTCCTAGGAAATGACAAAGACTAAAAGAAATTCTTCCAATTCACCCCATTAACAATCTATATTATTTCGCTAGTATACCTAAGCACATGAGTTTAAAATACTCAATGAACATGTTTTTACATATGGACATATTGGTCAACACGGTTACAGCAGACACATCTTTGCTAATGGTCACCCATCACCATTCCATTTCAATGCAAAAATCCACCACAGGTAGATTTAGATATAACTAGCTACGGGACTCAAGCCATTAGTCTATCATTCTTACTCCAGCATATCCATAAATTCACATCCTAAAGGGAGATACTTTGGTCAGAAGTTTAAAGTAAAAATTTTACATTTCCCCCCATTTCTCTCTGCAAACATTGATGTGATAAATCCAGTAACTACATATATTGCAGTCAGCTTTGCTATAACACATGATTGATATATTAGGGATTGGCACTTACTTGTGTGCCATTCTCTCCTAGAGTCTCTAGGTGAATTAAACAGAACAAAACACATCAGGTAAACTGAGCAGGCAAGAGCACACACAGAACTCTCATCTTAGGATACAATGATCCACAAGTGGCCACACCGGTGCCACTGCAGTTTCTACCTGCTCTCAGGTGGCTTTCCTTTCATATCCCATGTGTGCCTTCACCCTGACCTGTAGGACACACCCTCCATTCTGCTTAACTCTGTCTGCTTTGTATTTTCTCTCACTGCTCTGCTCTCTGTTCCTGTTTTTTTAATATTTATCTTTTTCTTGCATGTAAGAGTGTGAGCAGGGATTGGTATAACTGTCCTTATAGGAGAGGTAAGCACACTTGAGGTTCATCCAAGGTAAGGAACCCTCTTATTGCAGTTCTGATACATTCAATGATTGAACATACACAAAAGTAGGATACGAAAAATAACAAAAACAACAGCAAAACCCACTAGGATACTATTTAATGGCATCCCTACTGTGTGTGCAGTTTGACAATGGCATTTGTGAATGCTACAGATGGTAATTCTGTTATTTCTCTGTGTTTTACAATTCTGTAGAGTGCTGTTTGATTCTTGGGAATGCCTATGCTACACGAGAGCAGAACAGCATGTAGAGAAGTGCTAACAGTATATTTTCCTTATTTTAAAGACTATTTTTTAGAAAATCTTAAATTTAAAACAAATATGAAAGGGCAGATATTTCTTATATCCCACTACCACTAAGAGTTCATTTTTAAATATTAAATGATTCAAGTCATTTCATGTTAGTTTGCAATTTAGATGATAGACAGATATAGACAGATGATACACAGATAGACAGATGATGGATATAGATAGATTATATATAGATAGATGATAGCTATAGATAGCTAGCTATATAGGTAGGTAGCGACAGATGATAGATGATAAGATAGATGATCAATAGATAGATAGACGATAGACATAGATAGGTAGATAGATACAGATGATAGATAGATATAGATAGATGATAGACTGATCAGCTCATGTTGCCTGAAACTCTAATCCCTTACATGAAATTCACAAAACATTATAATCTAGACAATAAAAGCTAGGTCTAACAGATGACTATTAACTATAATTTAGTCACCTTCTCTTTTTGTTTGGAAGTTCCAGAAACATCTACATACATAAATTTATATATTAATGCTTTCACTACAGATCCTTATTTGTTATATATACTTGGCCATTCATATCAACACATGGCATATTTCTACAGCTTCTTTGTTGAAACTTTCTTGTAGATGGTGAAAGCAACAGAAAGTTTTTCCAGGTCATCTGGTTTTATCTGAACTTATTGACCCACTTAACCAAGTGTTATCTAACAAAATTTCCTCTAAAGAAAAGCAATGGAGTAGGGCAGTGGTGGTGCACGTCTATAATTCCAACATTTGGGAGGCAGAGGCAGGACAACCAGGGCTGTTACACAAAGAAACCCTGTCTTCGAAAACCAAAAAAACAAAACAAAAACAAAAAACAAAAACCCCAAAAATAAACAAACAAACAAACAAACAAAAAAAACCCCAGCAGATTGCAAATAGCATACAGTAAACGGTCAAAGTAGTCCTCTTTGCAATTTCAGTAGACCCAACATAAACATGTTAAGAAAAAGTAACATGAAAATTCCTCAATTAAAATGACTTCCCAGAGGACTTTTGAACTAAAAAGGGCCAATTACTGTGGTTTAGTGATCAGGAATATCTGCTGATGGTCTTTGTAACTAGGAAAAATCATTGTCACTTACCCACTGAAGAATGATAAAGGTTCTGCTATCCAATGGATACACATTTGTATTTGCTAAAAACTACCATACTAATTGGAAAGAGAAACTGGACCTCTTGATTATGAATGAGGGTAGGAATGAAGATGCAGCCCATGCCTGGCAATAATTCTTTGCATGTTCTATTGTGCTAATGTATAAAACCCAATCTGTGACCTCAACTACAATATGTTGGATTTAACAGTAAGTGAATCTTTGGTAAGTATTCTTTTGTTTTTTCCCTTTCCTCTTACCATACTGGTCTTGAAACAAATGTGTTGTGAACTAATTATCTCAGGGGCTAACAACTTCACTTCCATCTTCAAGATCTGGAGATGCTGAGCCACCCCAGGGCTCTGTCAGCAGCCATTTCTTCCTATGAGGATGGCCCCACTTTCCTAATAAGAAACTTTAGTGAAAAGATACCTGTTTTTCTTGCTGTGATTAAAAGATCATTTGTTACCAAGAGTTTTGAAGAGAAGACTTCCCTTGGCATAAGCAGAAAGCTGAGCTCCCGGCTAGCCACATGCCAGCCAGCCCTCTGAGTCTTACTTGTTCTCATTGCTTGCATCGTAACGAGGCATCGGGTCCAAGTCATTCCCATTCACATCGCAACTTGCCAGAGCATCCTATGACGTTGGAGAAGAGATGGGAAACAGACAGTAGTTAGCATTCACCCACTAGCTCATGCATTCTTAAATGCATTTCTGCAAGGGAGTAATTAGGTTAATAAATACCCTCCTGGTTCACTAGTGTCAGACACCTTAGGGGGACACTGCTGGTTCAATAACAATCATTGTTGTATTGTCCCTTTAAGGTGAGGTAGTCTATATAGAGCAAAGGACTTTCCCCTTATTACTCAGAGTGACCCAGTTCGTGAGATGTTTATCTTGTACAGATGTCCTCAATTCCACGTTTTTTAAGCACTTTCCATCCCTTACTTGGTATCCTGACCTTACAATAATCCTTATCATATTTTCATGACTTTTAGAAGAAAAAACAATTGTTCACATATAACTGACAGGCCAGGTAAGATACTAGATGCTTATTTTATCAGGTTTCTTGGGATCTGCATCACACAATTTAGTCTTGTTTAATTTCTATTACACAAAAGTTTTCAAATGAGATTGTTACTATTATTCCACAGCTCTGAGAGTAGCCCAAATGATGAGCAAAGCTGCCTTAAGCTAAGGTTTAAAATAAAGAAACAGAACATCTAAAGCCATAGTTGGATTTATTTGTTTGCTTTCAAAATGGTTAGGAAAAAAGCTCCTGAAAACTAAAAGGAACTCATGGGGTCACTTTTGCTGTTTTATCTTTTATTCCTTCACTTAGCCTGTTCCAGGGTATTATCAATTCCTCCATGCTTCATGATTGCTTCTATGTCTGGTGTTAATAAAAGTCAATATTATCTTTGCTTCTATATTTACTGAATGCTTGTGTTTCTGAAAATAAGTTTTAGTTCACAGAAATGGAAAGGTTTTGGAGAGTTAAGCACAATACATGATGCACAGAATGGTAACTTCTGCTTTCAGCACACAGGAGCCCTGCCCGCCTCTTAGAGGCTGCCAGAGCTAAAAGCACTTTGAATGAGTGACTCAAGCATAACTTAAAAAAACTTTACTCACAGGAAACAGAGGCACCAATCAGACTAATCTAGAGCCTGTCTTGATATGAAGCAAACCAGATGGGAGCCCAAGTCTTTGATCTGAATAATCCAAGGCTTTCTCTACTTTTATCTGGCCACCAAGAGGGAACTGAGATAGCACCATCACTGATAACTAACCAGGTAATCCCAGAGAATGTTCTTTAAGAGGGAAAACATAAAAGAGGCAAAAACTGCCATCATAATTAGGTAGAAGCTAATTTTACTTAACGAAGTGCAGTCATCTACAGCAGGTAGAGGCCCACAGAGAGAGATGCTATGGACGTTGAAGACAGATGTCCCTTCTGGGGGAAAAGGCAAGGTCTGATCTCGTTTCACCCAAGATAACTGACTTCAGTCTCCAGCCTTTATTTTCTTTACTTGTCAATGGGGAGATTGAACTGAAGTTCAAGTCTTAAGAGGCACAAGTTTATCTGAACACTCTAGTCTACAGGGTGAGTTTAGCCACTGATTCCTGTTCAAAGTAGAGTAAATGAATCTTCAGTTTCTCCTTAAGAAAGGGATCGACTGGTGTGGCAAAGGAAAAGGTCTCTTTGCACCAGACAGAGAGCATTACAGAAAACCACAGCCAGTCAAAATACAGAACTGTGGAGACAAAATGACTGCTGTGTTGCAGGTGCAGGGAACACTGGGGGAGAGGGGGCAGAAACATTGTAAGGGCCAGAGGAACAGGGAGTTTACTGTGAGGTTGTGTCTCCTAGTAATGTCAGAAGCTACACCCATGAAGTCTCACCAACATGGCTCTCTAAGCATGAGCGGGACAGGGTCAACAACAGACCTGCTACAGGAGACTGGGCAAGTCCACAGGCCTCAACACTACACAAATAATGACAGGCATCTAAGGAATGCCACCTAGAGAAATAGTCTCCCCCAGGGAAGGGCACACCAACTGCTTATCCAATACTAAATGGTCAGCGCTGAAAGCATACATACAAGTAACATTACACAGACTAAGCAGGTTGTATTTAAATATATTGACAATTAATGAAAAAGGAGGTCACAAATTTCAAAGAGAGCAAGGAGGGATATAAGGCAGGGTTGAAGGAATGAAAGGGAAAGGGATAAGTGATACAATCATGTTGGGGAAGTCCTGTGCATTTGTAATAAAGCACTGTCTGGCCAATAGGGAATCTAGATAGGTGGGACTAGGAATCCAGGAGGATTCTGGGAAGGAGAAACACAGGAGAGTTCTACATGTGACGCCATGGGGTAGGAAGCCCGGGAACTATTCTCCGGTAAGAGACATACTTAGATTAACAATTATGGGGTAATTACTTAAGTCAGAGCTAGCCAGTAAGAAACAAACAAGGCCAACAGCTTCATAATTAATACAGCGTCTTGTGTGTTATTTGGGGACTATAATGTGGCAGAGCCCAGGCGACTGGCAGGTGATATCCCAAAGTGGCTAGCAAGATAAAGCTTCTCTCAACACAATCATATTCTAATGTCACAAAGTTAAAAAACTGAAAAAAGAAAAAGAGGTAGGGAAGGAAAGGTGCAGAACAACTGGAGAGAAGCTCTCCATAAAAGACAGTGCTGCCTGCCTGTCTTCCCGAATTGCTGAGGATAGGGCGTGGCTGACAACAGATGGTGTGGGCATGGCTGTCTTTGAAGGTCTCACCATCAAAGGCACGGGGAAATGAAAGGAGGGTATCTTGTGGTTCCTATCAGGCCAGAGCTCACCTTCTACAAGAAGGGAACAAAGCACAGAACCTGCCACATCTTCTGGCACATTTGTCAGCAGCTCTCCCACTTTCTGACCCTTCCCCCAGGAGTCCCCAGCTGCCAAGGAGAGAGGACCTCTGGCCACAACAAACACTCACGTAGTTTTGCATCAAATCAGGGTGGGTTCTCTCGATGCCGTCATCCAGGATGGTCACCACAATATTCTTCCCCGTATAACCTCGCTTCCAGGCTCCTTCAATATTCATGTCCGACTGGCAGGGATGCGTGTTGTCACTGCAGTGCTACAGAATGAAAAGGGCAATGAAGATTACTAAACAGTGCACAGATCGGAGAATAACCCACTTGTGGAGACAGTACTGAATTAACAGCAATTTGGCCTGCTGCCTATTAGAAGAGAAGCACTGATCCCCTGAGTGGTAACTGGGGTGATACAAAAAAAAAGTATGCGAAGAAAGAGGGAAAATGTAAACCGATAGGTACTGGGTACCAGTTTGGGTACCACAGGAAGTTTAAAAATCTGGTATATCAACAGTGAAAGAGATATTTTTTGTCACCATGTATTAATAACATGTAAATAACCACTGTTGCACTTCATTATAAACCTGAAGAGTGTAACTGAAGAACATGTTTGTTCTCGTGTCTTAGCCAGACATCTAGGATCCAATCCAGCTGCAACTGGGACTGACTCAAGCCCCACTTGGAGAGCCACATAGAGGTGTGCTACTATGAGAAAAAACAAAGCAAAACAAAACCCTCAAACCAGCAGGTTCTCTAAATGGCTTTCACTAAACTAACAGTGGTGGGCAGATTCATTCAAAGCTACTTTGAGAAGGATGGGAACAGTACAAAACCAAGATGGGTACTCTACCCAGGAAATGTATACAGGAGCTTCAAGGGGCAGGCTGAAAACATAACATCCTGGCTCATTATGCACAGAAATTTCATTCTGCAAGAGCTGCAATGTCCAAACATACTGAAAAAGGAATGGAGCCAGCAACTTTTCCTGATATAATTTACAAATGTTGGTTCAACCTCCATAATTGTTCCTTTCAAGTCCTCTTTGAAATACTCCTGAGGGTTGCTGTTTTCCAGATTCCTAAGACTCAAAAGAAGCACAAAGGAAAGGTTGTGTGACTCTATAATGTCATAGCAACACCAGCTCACCATTCACCACTCACTATATTCTTCCTGCCTCTCAACAAGCAGCTCCACACTGAGGAAATGGAAAAGAATGCTAACTTTTCTGTACACTAAACATAATGGGGACTCCGCTGCCACTGAGGGATCTAACACACATTGTATTGAGCACTTACTGCTTGCTCTGTGTGGTTGCAAAACAAAACAAAACAAAACAAAAACCTTAGGTATTGTCCTAGAGGAGGGCCACAGAAAGCAGAAAAATGGATCAACAAGATGACTGAGAATGGTGATTGTGGTTTGAAGAGAGAGAGAGAGAGAGAGAGAGAGAGCCCCATATGGTGGTGAATGTTGAGGGGTCCTAGTGTGCTGCTTTAAGGGAACAGTCAGAAAGAGACTCCAGTCTCTCAGAAAGCAAGAGGTATGTTACTGTTAGCATTTGGCAGCAGAAAGTGGAGTGATGGTCCAAGAAAGAGTCAGGGACTAGCGTCCTGTTCAGTGCAGCACGTGCTAGGACTATGATATGGGCTAGAGTAGGGACAGAAAAGGTGGGGACTGCTGGACAGACCGACGCTGAGGACAGTACGCTAGAAAGGAGGGAAAGGCCACTCTGGATCCTGAACACCCACTCTTTACGACCGTGCTCTATAACCAAATGCTGTTCACTCTCCTTCCTCCAGTTTCCTGAGCACAGCACTGGTCCTGCACAGTCTCCTATGGCTCACTTTTCTTTTTCCTTCCCAGGAACTTAGGAGTACAGGCATGCATATGAACGTGGACACTTGGTCTGCATGCTCCCACTCATGCTCACTGGCTTCCGCTGTGCTGTACTGCTCACGGCTGACACTTGTGCACTTGTCTCCCCAAGTGACCTAAGGACTTATGTCTAACCTAAGAGTTCATAAACACTGGATAATCAATATACTCAGAAGGAATAAGCAGCCTCAACTTCATTTCCAGTTGAAATTTTTATTATGTTTCCTGCTCTGACCTCTTCAGCAAAATCCAGCCAGTTATTTGCTTGGCTAAAAGAAACACTAGCAAAAAGAAGTCATGCAGATTGCTAAAATACATACTTTTCCAATTGTCCCATTCTGGCCAAGCATGTGGGCCTCTCCTCACCAAGTATTTTAATACAAAGCAATCTCACTCCATTTTTTTTCAAAACCTGCTGTGAACACCTGTAGTACACATTGTGACTGGGGGTAATGTTAGTGTAGCTGAGGGGTGGGTTGAAGGAAGGAAATGGACAGGAAATGGGCAAGCCACAAATGGAATAAGCATCCTAGAGTGGTGGGATGGAGCCTGAATTGTAATTATAAAAACTGAAGAACACCAGCCGTCAATGGAAAACATGTGTGGTGGAGTGAGCCATGCACTTTTGGAACGTTTCCACCTCTGCTTCTGCTGAATCAAACCTCGATCATTTTAAACTTTCTGGTACTACCTTTTGTATCTCTTACATCTGCCACTGCTGAATCACTGCCGCAGTTGGGAACTGTGAAACTGATGTATTTGTTTGGTAATATAATATGGAATGTGGCCCAGATATCAAGGACAAAATGATATTAATAATAAAAAATATGATGAGGATGAATGAGTTAATAAAAGCTAGATTGTTTCTTGTAGAAAAGAAGTAAGTCAGAGGCAACTTGAAGGATCTACTTTAAACAAGATGTAGAACCCTGGGTCCTCAACAGGAACCCTTGATTACTAAAATATTTCAGTTTTCTAGATTTCCCAACCTGTTACTAACATAGTTGTGCTATATACCTGAGATGTTCAGAGAAAATAAGATAGAAATTACTGATCTCACCCAGCAATGAAATAAGAATGACCTCACCATTTCCTGAAGAGCCTGGTGAAAGGAATCTTTATACTGGCCTACATCTCCTTGTTAGATAGCCATGGTAAAACAGCACTCAAGGATAAAAGTACATATACTGGCCACGTTCCCCAAATTTGTAGTCAAACCCATTGAGAGCTCTGTTGGGACAAAAGCCTGGTATACAGAATGGTGTCACCACACATGTTTCTACAGCATGGAGTTCACCAAAGGACCCAAGGAAAGTTCAGCATATAAGAACTGGAGAAATCATGGAAGAACACAGCTTAAATATTTACAGTCATGCGTGTACCTTCACTCTGAATAATGCTATCCCATTGGTGTCCATGTATAGGTGACTAAGTTCTTAGAAAAAAGATTGAAAATATGAAATGGAAACAAGCTCTTGTGTCCTCAAAAATGTGTTTCACGGTTTGCTTAATGGACATCTTATATCCCAAATAAATTACCCTAAATATACATTTGTTATGTCTTCACCATCCTTTCATTCAGGGAAGAAATGGAAGATGAAACACATTCTTTTTAAATTTCTCTAAATTTGGAGAGTCCCTTCGTTGGTTTGAATAAGAATGGCCCTCATCAGGAAGTGACACTATTTGAGAAAGATTAGTAGGTGGTGTGGTCTTGTTGGAGGAAGTGTGCATTTGGGGGGGGGTTGGGCACTGAGGTTTCAAAAGCACATGCCTGTCCCCTGCCCCCCATCTATGGATCAGAATATAGCTCTCAGCTACTTCTCCAGAACCTCCCTGCATGTTGTCATTTCCCCACAATGATTATAATGGATTAAATATCTGAAACAATAGGCATGCCCCCAATTAAACACTTTCTCTTTGAATAGTTGCCTTGCTCTTGGAATCTTTTCACAGCAATAGAAAAATGACTAGCAGTCACCCCCACGTCATGAACTACCCTTTGACTTTTTGCTGTCCTTAAGAGTAGAACCTAAGGCCTGGTGTATCTAGGCAAGTACCCAACTATTGAGCTGCAACCAAAGCCCTTGATGTGCTGTTACATGTTGTCAGTACTCTGCTGACATAGAAAATAATCACTGTTCAAAATAAGAATCCATGAGGTCATTGCTCATTATTGACAGTAGCACATAAGCCTGCAATTCTGACTATATAAAGTTCATAATAAACTAGAATTAAATATAAAAATCTGTAATAGAGACATATTAAGAGACTGTTCTCTTTGGCTTTCCTATTGCTAATACAAACACCATGACCAAAGCAACTTGGGGAGAAAGGGGTTTGTCTGTTATACACATTACTAAGGAAAGTCAGGGAAGTAACTGAAGTAGGAACCCCAGGCAGAAACTGAAGCAGAGACTTTGAAGAAACACTTCTTACCAGCTTGATGTGTTTTCTTTCTTGTATAACCCCAGAACCACCTGCCCAGGACTGACACCTCCCTCTGTGGACTGGTCCATCTCACATCAATCATTAATTATTCCACACTCTTGCCTACTGAAGGATGGAGTAGGCCAATCTGATGGAGGCATTTTCTTAGTTGAGATTCCCTCTTCCCACATAATTCTAGAATGTGTCAAGCTGACAAAAAATCTAGATAATATAGAAATATATCTAGTAGGCTCAGAAAAGTATATGAATACCTGAAGTTCTTGGTAATATTTAGAATTTAAGAGTTGTAATAAATCAAACAGGAATAGAACTGATATTCCTCCAAGTAAAAAATGCACTACTAGTCCTACTACTAATGTCCATTTCCTAGTCAACTATTGTACTAATTTCTTCATGTGGATAGCAAGCAATATGAAATTACCCAAGGAAATCCACTGTTTTTCAATACCGTGAAACTCAGCAATAGTAGCTAAGAACATTTGTTAAAAAGAGAACCAGGAAGACAGAAGAATTTGAGTTCTGTCTGCTTCTTTCTGGCTGAATTATTTGTCAAGTTGCTTAAATTATTAAAACTGTGCTTGCAGTTTGAACATAAATGCTAGCCATAGATATCAGAGACGATAAAAACACAACAATGCTGTCATAGTGATCCTTCAATTGTTGATGACAGCACATTCATATGAGACCTCAGTGATCCCAATTGTTTAGAGAAGAAAAATTCAGCTTAAAAATGAAAAGGATGGGTAGGTTGTTGTAACCCAATGAAAGGATCTTCTTTTCTTTCTGGGGAGTCAGGTTAGGCAACATAGAAACCGCAATGGATCACTGGTAGGGATAGTTGAGAAGAGCTGAAAGGGAATTTCACACCTGCAGTCTTGATGATGGGTAGGTGTTGGAGACAGGCATGAGCTGAACAAAGAGGGGTCCAAATCCCTAC